CTGCCCTTTGTCACCGGTTCTGTTCATAACTTTCATGGACAGAATTTCTAGGCGCAGCCGAGTGGTGGAGGGTGTCAGGTTCAGTGACGGGAGGATCTCGTCCCTGCTTTTTGCGGATGACGTGGTCCTCCTAGCCCCATTGAACAGTGACCTCCAGCTTTTGCTAGGATGGTTCGCAACCGAGTGTGAAGCGGCTGGGATGAGAATCAGCACCTCCAAGCCTGAGGCCATGGTCCTCAGCTGGAAAAGGGTTGATTTCCCACTCCAGGTTGGGGGGGGGGGGGTCCTGCCTCAGGTGGAGGAGTTTAAGTATCTCAGGATCTTGTTCACGAGTGAGGGTAGGATGGAGTGGGAGATTGACAGGTGGATTGGGGTGGCGCTTAACCGATGCATTGTGGTGAAAAGGGAGCTTAGCCAGAAAGTGAAGCTCTCGATTTACTGGTCGATCTACCTTCCAACCCTCACCTATGGTCACGAGCTCTGGGTAGTGACCGAAAGAATGAGATTGCGAGCACAAGCGGCCGAAATAAGTTTCCTCCGCAGGGTGGCTGGGCTCAGCCTTAGAGATAGGGTGAGGTGCTCGGACATCCGGGAGGGACTCAGAGTAGAGCCGCTACTCCTCCATATAGAGAGGAGCCAGTTGAGGTGGTTCGGGCATCTGGTAAGGATGCCTTCCGGATGCCTCCCTTGGGAGGTGTTTCGTGTATGTCCAACCGGGAGGAGACCTCGGGGCCGCCGCAGGACACGCTGGAGGGATTACATCGCCCGGCTGGCCTGGGAACACCTTAGGGTTCCCTGGAAGAGCTGACGGAAGTGGCTGGGGAGAGGACTGTCTGGGCTTCTTTGCTGAGGCTGCTGCCGCGACCTGGACCCGGATAAGCAGAGGACGACGAGTACGAGTAGTTTTTATCCTTCTTTTATCAATTGTATCATTTATTTATTTTTTTTAATTACACTGATTTATCTGGTCTTAGCCTATAATGTTCTTATTTCTGTTTTTATCTTGATGGTGTGTACTATTTTATTCGTCTCATAAAGCACTTTGTAACTGTGTTTCAAAAGATGCCATACAAATAAAGTTTATCATTATTATTATTATCTTCTTTGGCATAAAGGTCACATCCAGTTTAATAACCATTTACATCTTAATGAACGTCTCCGGGGATAGATGACAACACATAAAGCACTGTTTTGTACATACCATCCTCTCTGGATATTGAGCTACAGCATGACTGTGCTCACACACTGAGGTCACGTAAAGTGCTGTGAGTTTTGCTTTTTGTGCTGAATCACAGGGAAGAAAAAATATAGCGTCAAAAATGTCAATCTCAATATCCCAGAGCAACAGGTGACGTCCTGCTTGTTTTGTCAGACCTACAGTCACAAAGCCAAAGGCATTCAGTTTGCTTTCACATAACACAAAGAAATGCAGCAATATTTAGCATTTTTGTTTGAAAAATTATAAATAAACGTATTCATAAGTGTTTGCTTGATTAATTAAATGTAACAGATTTTCTGTCAATCAAGAAATAGTTTGATGTTTTTTTACATGAACTCTCAGGAGAGGAGTTTTCCTGCATTTTGTTTTGCTTCCAGCACTGATGTCTAAAATCTGACCTGCATATAGATAGTTTGTTGTTTGGCTCACTCATCCTCAGTTTACTGTAGGGCTGCACAATTATGGTTAAAAATTAAAATCACGATTATTTCTGATAAATACTGAGATCACCATTATTTATCACATTAATTCTTTATTTTTAGTGACAAAATATTTTACTACACTGTCACATTTGAATTAACAAAGCACTGCTTTTACCTCCATGTTGTACTGCATTCCTGTCAATGTACAAATCTTGGCATCAAAATAAGACTAGTTTTTATTAATAGTTAATAGTGCATCTTCTAGAAACTGAATATGAATAAAATTGTACCAAAACAATTTACCCAAGATATAACCAACAGAGGACTGCTTTTACTTTATATTGTGCTACATTCCTGCTAAATAACAAATCTTGGCATCAAAATAAAGACTTACAATAAGATTCTTCTTCACCTGGAGTCAGTGCATCTTCCAGAGATATGTATCCGCTGCATACATTTTTTACAGTGGTCACAGCACTGTGACACACCGCAGTGTTGCTGTTATGACTGTCTGAGTTGACACTGGGCAAGGTCGGGGTTTAATGGTTATGGCACAGCAACATTAGTGACGTTATTCTACTTTGCCTTCATGCGTTCTTCATGCTATAGCAGATTGTGGTGTTTTATCAGGTGGTTTAACAAGTGAGTTGTGTTGCTTTGCGGCACAGACAAATCTCATTCACTCTTTGCGCATGATTTGTTTTCTCCTGTGTCCAAACAACAGATGATAACGGTTGATAGCAAATGATTTTTGCTCATCTACTGTTGAAACATTCAGAAAAGTTTCTCACAAGCTGCAGGGTGCGTGTGCAGCAGACAGCTCTTAAAAAGTGGAGACTGCTGTTAGTTAAGGAAGTGCTTGATTTGACATGCAGCAGAGTTTTCTGTGAACCAAGCTTGCATTTTTAACATCAATATCACAGTCAATCACGTTCATTTAACTGTGGGAAGACAAAATTGTGATCGTGATTATTATTTGACTAATTGTGCAGCCTAAGCTAACTTTGTATCTTTATCTCCAAAGTCCAAGCAGCAACCTCCGAGGTTGAAAGATGAAGCCAATGCTGACTGCTGAAAATTGCAGTTCTCTTGATGGCCACTTGAGGCTGGCTCCAGAAGCAAGTCAATTAAAAATTAACATGTTTATAGCCTGGAACAAAAAACAGGTTTGGACTCTATAGCTAATTTCACCCCTTCATGACAACTGTACAGGGCTGAATTTTTATAGCCAAATACGGTCTCTTCTGGTTTAAAAAAAAAAAAAAAAAAATCTATACAGGTTTTAGAACATGGCACTCTTAAATACTTGATTGTGATTGGTCAATCAACAAAATTCTGTGGTGTTTATTTCTTGAGGTATCACCGCTGCTCTGCTACTCCGTTGCTAAGGACGCCATAGCAACAGCCTTAGGGCTCATTTATGCTCAACGTCAAATACGGATCCGGATACGGACGGAGCCTTCTGTCCGTGCTCCGCGTTCATTTCGTCCATATTTCTGCACGTTTCCATAAAGCTTACGGATACGGGCCAAACGGAGCAGTACCACCGGGAACCATGGGGGCAGTGTTGCTGTCACTACCCGATACGTAGCTCTAGTGAGACACGAAGAAGAAATAACAATTCAATTTCTCTCATCGGCAGTACTAGAGAAAAGAATTCTCTGTCCTCCAGTCGCGATGTATTTAACGGCCTCACCAACCACCACCTCCTACAACGCTGCCTCTGTTTTTGTCTTTTATGCAAGAGGTACATTATCAATATCTCCTCCACAGTCGCCATGTTTGTTTTTGAGTTTGTTGTTGTCATAAACTTTTGACGGTGGGCTGCCTCCTGGTGGATATATTGGTTAACATCCATGCCAACGTAAAGGGCGCATGGAAGTATGTGGGCAGTGACGGTAACATCGTTTGAAACGGACGTATACATTTTCGTACGTAAAGGGAGCATAAATGAGCCCTAAGACTGAGGAGCATCAAAATCAGTTAACGTTCATCCACACAGGCCAAATAGGATCGAAGTGAAAACGGAAATGTCCAATTGACCCTTCGCTATGTCCCGTCCCGGGATGCAGACTGGCCAATCATAACGTAGCATCGGGTCGGCTCAGACCACGGTCTGACAACAACACATGTGCTCCATTGACTCTAATGCAGTCGTTTCAGATTTCCTTCATTTTCAGGCTGGTTTCGTGGATTTGGAGTTAAGTATTGTGCCTGGGGCACGTCGTGTATTAATGATACTCGTTACCTGGAGAGGTTGGAAAAAGATATACGTTTCTTCCCTGTTCCAAAACCAAAATCAAACCCTGTAAAGTGTAGGGTTAGCTAGCTAGCTACTGAAGATATAGCCTACTGAATGTATACACATGCTGCTTTTGCTTTTTAATGATTATAATAGTGAAACAAAGGGTGACCCTGCTGTACAGGAACCAGTGAAGGGGGGCAGGGAAACTTTGCTCATATTCAACCAGCTGTGTGTTAACGCCTTGTGCGCAGATGAACATTGTTTGATTTCTTCTGCAGCCCCCTGACAGTCCAGCTGCCAGTCTGGGTGCTGGGAGCGGCACGGGGGTGAAGCTAAACACTGTTCATCTGCACACACTGTGTTACCTTGATTTCGTTGCTGTGTCAGTCTGACATCCTGAATATATCCTTCAAACGCATATTGTAGAAATTTGAAAGTATTTCTCCAGGGAGTGCAGTTAGCGACAGTGGGAGCGGCATGCCAGCCTAGCTCCGAAACCGAAAGTTTGTCGGACTTAGCAACCGTAACTAAGGGGGGCGGGCCTTAGCGAAGGGTGAATTCAATATTAATTATCATTAGGCTGCCGTTGCCATGGATACAGAGTACAGACACATTTCTTTTTGCAAATTTTAAATCAATAAAACATGCTTTTATCATTATTTTGTGTCACATCACTGGATGTTTTAGTAGTAAGCCATGTTCTAAGTGGGATAATGTATAGTGAGCCGGTGACAGTTTAAATAACTCCCTTCAGGGGAATGGAACCCCTCCGCTGCGCAGTCATCGGCTCACTATACATTATCCCTTACATGTTGTGGTCCTGTAAATTTGTTCTCTGCACTGTGTTATGTATGTTGAAAGCAACTGAGAAGAGCCTGACAGTTAATTCTTGAACAGAGGAACTGTAGTCAGACAACAGACGAATCTTGATGCAAAGTTGAATTATCTCATCCTCTTTTAAACCTCTCAAACCACATTGTAGTCATACCATACCCCTTTCTCTGATCTTCCTCTTCCTACATTTTGACAGACATGTATAAATTAGGATATAATAAGGGGTGTGGGGTTTGGCTATGTTCTCTATAAAGAAAATATGCATTCCCTCTGACTTCACTGCAGCAGCACCTTCCCTTCCAACACAGGAAAACTTCAGAACATCTGTCAGACATCTCTCTCCACCAAAGAAGGTACATGCAAAAAAGGGTGTACATTTTCATTCTGTCTGCAACTGATGATTATGTTCATTATTGATTAATCTCCTGATATTTTTTTATGATTTTTAATTCAATTTATATTGAAAATATCAGAGAATAGTGGACAAAGACCAAACACTATTTCCTACAGCACCAGGTTACAGCTTCAACATGATTTTTTTGCTGACTAACAGTCAGAGACTTAATAAGACGGTTTAATGTAAGAAAACAAAAAGTATCAAGTCCTCAAATTTGAGAAGAACTGGGTAGCATATGGGGGCAGACTAGAGAGGCGTACAGGTGAGCTCACCAGGACAGGTGGCAGGTGACTGGGAGGGACTGGAGACCAAGATGAGCACAAAGTTTTGATCATGCACATGCTATTGTTTGTTGTATTGTTGGTCGTAGAATAAACTGTCTTGCAAGCTAGAAGTTGTCTGTATTGAGTTCATACGTTCAAACTAGTTTTACCCTACCTAGCAATGAGATGCACAAGTCACCAGGATTCAGTAGGATTTCCAAAAAGCTTGTTAACAGATTATCGACATTTCTAGAAATACACATATCAATGCCTATTCGTGTAATTTCAGTGGGTGTTAGAACCAGCACATCCTGCTGGCAACAGCGATAAAGGTGAGTTATTTATGTTTATATGAGCTAGTTCTCTTAATATAATTGAACACTGTGTTCAATGGGCTAAGAAGAGCAGCAGCGGACTCGTCTGCCCGACTGCTGGCTGTAAATTATTTCTTTAGAATCCACATTTTAAGTTTGTTGGTTTAGTTCTTTCTATTGTCATTGCTTATAATCAGCTACGTGACAAACCCGCTCTGCTATTTAACCTGACGTGTGTGCAGATGGCTGGCCTGTGCTGGACGGCCATGGTGCTGGCCTTGTTTCTGTCTACTGGACGAAGTTCGGCTGCTGTGGACCAGAACTGGCTCACCAGTGTCATAGAAGGCATCAAGAATGAGTGAGTCCACAAAGACTGTCACTCTCTGCCTTTAGTGATGACTTTTCTACTACTACTTCTGCTACCACTGGTAGTAATTGGTGCTAAACGATAAGTCATATTTTCATCATCACAATAGGAACATGCACAATCGACACATCGCAAAAGATTGAAATGCAATGAATAAGAAAAATAATAATAGTAAATAGTAAATCTCACGACAATGTTCGTACCAAAATAGCTGTGTAATAAAAACTATACAGAGTATATGACGTTTTGGTGTCATTTACGGACACACTGCGTCTGTCCTCTGCTGCCCTCACACAGGAACAGGGACTTCATGGTGCATTCAGGTGCACCTTGCACACTCGGTGATCTATACTGAAATGGCCACGAAGGTTGATTAAAACAGGAATATTTCTATTTGTTTTCTTGTTTTCCCTGTTGAAATACATGGGTCTGCTTCAGTTAATACTTTCTAATTCTTTCATTGGATCATTTTGAATAATTATATGCAAAAATCATTACAGTATCCCATTCATGTCTACACAGGCAAATTTTAAAAAATTATGTTAAAAAAATCAAACTGTTATTGGCAAACTCCACACTGTTCTTGTACAGCAGGTCCCCAAGTGTCTCTGTGAACATTTTCAAGTTGTTTTACAGCAGTATTTTCAATAATTTAAAACTAAAGTCATACCCAGTGTGACTATAAGCCCCTCAATGGTATCCCGGATTCTGTGTGCAGTCACTAAACTTCCTCTCTGACCATGTGAACGTTCTGTGAGACAAAAATGTTGAGGACTACATCAGATCAGTTTTTTAAATTTCATCAATGTACGAGAACTCTGAATTCATCATCATTTTTCCTGTGTATTAGCACTTCAACTATTGAAACTTTCCATCTATACTGCCATCTACAGTATTTTCTTTTTATCACATGAACCATTATATGGTCACTTCACCGTTATGCGCTTTTATTACAGTTTTACTACTTGTTGCTTTCATCACCGCAGAACTTCTCATTACCGATATGCATCATCAGATTTCTTGATTTCATACAGTTTATTTCGTTTGCAATTACCTCTCTTAACAGTGTACTATTTTATATCTTGAATTCTATTTTTATTTACTTGCCTGATTTTCTGTCTTACACTTACTTAATGAGCATTGTTAAAGGGAGCCTGAGACTTAAAGGGATAGTTTGGATATTTTGAAGTGGGGTTGTTTAAGGCACTTATCCATAGTCAAGTGTACAACCTAAAGTACTGTAGATGACAGTCAGCATGCCCCCAGTTTAGAGAAGCGGGCATGTAAGACACGGAAGTTAAGCAATGTATTGCTGTGAATGGGGGCAGCGCCAAAATATTTTTTAGCCACCTAAAGGAAAATCAACATAAGTTTAAGTGTATGCTATATTGAGAGTATTTTCCCAGCTTCACCTTTCCGCTAGACAGCTCTTTTCAAGGGGTAAGCCGTGAATGACTTTATTTCTCCATCTATGCTCTCTTCAGAAAAACAGTCATTTTAGCTTGCTGAACACAGGAGCTGCTGGTCTACTGCTGCTTCAATCAGTTAGTTTGTATTATTGTGTGACTTTGGTGAATCTGAACTAACCATTTTAAACACCAAAGTCACACAACAGTACAAACAAGCTTACTGATCGAGGCAGCAGTAGACCAGCAGCTCCTGTGTTCAGCAATATAAAATCACTGTTTTTCTCAATGGAGTCTGGCTTTGAAGAGAGCAACAGAACGGCTTCATATTCCCGTTAGAAATCACAGTCTGACATTACACATAGCATACACTTAAACTGATAATGATTATTTCAGATGGGACTTTTTTAGGTGGTTAAAATACGTTTTGTTGCTGACCCCACCACAGCAGTAGATTGCTTAACTTCAGTTTGGGTCCCCAGCCTGCTCCTCCATACTGCGGAGGTGCCGACTGACATCTACTGTTTATAATATACTGTCTGTGGAGTACCCAGTACAACCCTACTGTCAGATCCAAACTATCCCTTTAAGATTTTTACTGCCAACAATTGCTTCTCTGTAATTGTTGTGAATATTATATAAATATTTTGACACATTAACTTGAAAGTGCAATATTCATTCAATGTTTTCCCTTGGCAGGTATGACCTAGGTGACACCTTCAGTCTGGCAGTGAACATCCCACAGGACCAAGACATAAATAATCTTCAGCAGGTCTTTCAGGGTGACCCTGCAAACACAGTGAAACAAACTGTTTCAAAGGGTGAAGTGTACCAAGGCACCAGGGTATTGGCAGCAGCAGATTCAAAGGCACTATCACGTGTTCTAGAAAACATGCAACCCCTCATTAAGAGCAGTCAGGGTAATTTCCTCGTCATCTACTCTGAAGAGTCCCCAAGTGCCAATGAGGACAACATCACTGGCAAGATAAACGACGTCATTCAGAACTGGAAAGGTTATGCATTTGTGTTTTCTAAAGTAGTTGATGTTCCTACCGTAGACAAGTCTCAACTGGCTGAATCCTTTAAACAACTTGGGATAGCTAAACTTGGGCTTGACAACATCTTCCGTTGTTATAAACCTGGAAATGATCCTTTTCAGTGCACAAGCTGCTCCTCAGGTGGAGATGTTACGCCCTCATGTGTTGCAAACGATGCCCCATCAAATCAAGAACAGGGCGTAGGTGAGGAACAAACTACGACCCCACCAACAGGCACAGATGTGGGCAAAGAAATAGCACCAGGTGAAGGAACAGCACCAGGTGAAGGAACAGCACCAGGTGAAGGTATAGCACCAGGTGAAGGAACAGCCCCAGGTGAAGGTATAGCACCAGGTGAAGGAACAGCACCAGGTGAAGGTATAGCACCAGGTGAAGGAACAGCACCAGGTGAAGGTATAGCACCAGGTGAAGGAACAGCACCAGGTGAAGGTATAGCACCAGGTGAAGGAACAGCACCAGGTGAAGGAACAGCACCAGGTGAAGGTATAGCACCAGGTGAAGGAACAGCACCAGGTGAAGGAACAGCACCAGGTGAAGGAACAGCACCAGGTGAAGGAACAGCACCAGGTGAAGGAACAGCACCAGGTGAAGGTATAGCACCAGGTGAAGGAACAGCACCAGGTGAAGGTATAGCACCAGGTGAAAGAACAGCACCAGGTGAACAGCACCAGGTGAGACAATGCAAGCGTGCAGGAGGCTGCAAACGCAGAGGAGGTGGCAGGCGTGGCAAAGGTGGCAAGATTAGGAGACAACGCAAGCGTAAAGGCGGCAAGCGCAGAGGAGTCAGAAGGCGTGGAAGAGGTGGCAAGGTTAGGAGACAACGCAAGCGTAAAGGCGGCAAGCGCAGAGGAGTCAGAAGGCGTGGAAGAGGTGGCAAGATTAGGAGACAACGCAAGCGTAAAGGTGGCAAGCACAGAGGAGTCAGAAGGCGTGGAAAAGCTGGCAAGGTTAGGAGACGAAGTATGCTTAAAAGAGGCAAGCGCAGGCGAGGCGGCAGGCGTGGAAAAGCTGGCAGGGTTAGGACAGGGCGCAAACAAAAAAGAGGAGGCAGAGGTAGAGGATGGGGTAAGCCTAGAGGAGGACGCAGAAGCAAAGGTAAAGGATGGGGAATGGGTAGAAGCCGCGGTAAACGCAGAGGAGGTGGTAGAAGCTGGAGTAAGCGTCGAGGCAGGCGTAGTTGGGGACTGCAATGATACAGGTAACATAACTTTGTAAGAACCTGAGAATCTAAGCAGCAGCCCAATGAAGCTGACTGAGACAAAACAATACATTACACTCAATAAAATTTTGCTTCTTTTTTTTTTTTTTTTATCTCTCATAGATTTCATGACTCCGTTCTGATATTTTATACTGCCTATGCATCTATATTACACCTGAGTTTTGGCACCGATACTGAAGAGGGTCCTTTTTTTTTCTAACTTTAAAAAAGATTAACCTGGTCGTATCCAATATTTTTCTTATTGTCAGACCAAAAGAAGCAATGTATGAATCTACTAACAAGTGTGCTAGATCTTCTTTCTCTGTGCCACAGCGGAGCTCCATTGTTGCTAAAAACACATCAGTGAGCCACACTGTTGCACTGGGGGACATGCTCCTCAATTACCATGAACACACACACTGTTGCTTATTTTGACTAAATCCCACAAAAACCATCAAGCTGCCACAAATACTAACGAGAGCACCAAATGTAGATTTAAAGCACCAGGGCTGCGGCCAGAGTCAGGTTAAGGAAGTCAGAAAATATTTAGAGTAGGGATGGGCATTTTCAGTAATGTCAATGTTAAAGAATTTGTACTTGAGTATTTGCAAAAAAATAAAATAAATAAATTTTAAAAAGCCATTTATTTAACTAACCATGGATTCAACGATAACATAAACAAATGAGTTTACTGATACTGTCATGCTGACCTTTATTTCATCAAAATTCAACATGGATCTTTTTTTTTCACTAGATGCTTCTGCCACTAGTGTACATGATTGCCAAAACATTGTTTAGATTTTTTTTTGGGCTTCTGAAGGGGGGCATGACAGAAACAATTTACAAACTACTTGGTTAGATGCAGCACTGAAGGACCATCTCCGAGCCACTCTCCTCCTGGTCAGTTCAAAGACTGTCCGGTTAGCATGAGATAACACTGCAGCAGCAGCTGCTAACATCTGTAACCAAGCCATTTAACACTCCCAACAAACTCATACCAACACCGAACAGTTGGATTAGAACAAGTCGTTTTCAAAAATATTCATCCACTGATTTAAAGATGTCTTTTTTACAATGTAAGTAATTCCACTTTTGACCACTATGTAAAATTGGCTTCAATTCCCAGGTTGACATTAATCCAAGTAAGTCCCAGCCCATTTGCTGGTACTATGGAGTTATTTGAAATAGTTAAACATGTAAAACAAAAGTAGCTCATTCGCAGTGTCACAATCAAGAAAAAAAAATGCAAAGTGTATTTCTTTGGTTTGTTTTATCTGCAAAGTAGGCCCTTGGTCTCAATGTGTTAAAGCCTGAGTTGCAACCAGTTCACCTGACCAACCACAGAGAATATGTGACCTCAGTGTCTTTATATTAGTGACACAGAGCATTGACCGCTTACGCCATTTAGCTGATGAGGAAACATTCACTGAAGGTGAATGGGAGTAATGACTGAGACAAAGAAGAAGAAAGGGAGGGTAAATGTAAATTAAGCTCAGTATCTTTAGTACTTACAAACTTGTACTTTGTACTTCTGTAAAACCAAGCCTGCTGATGTTCTGTTCTTTCTGATTAAAGCTTGGCTCAGCATCCGTCTGCTCTGTCTGTGTGTCAGTCATTTGGGAATATTACAGTACTGTGTGCCCTTAAGCCTAGTAGTAAGTTAACTGGTATTGTAGAGTTAAGTACCAGTATTATTGCTATGGTTACCTGCAGTTTAACATACTTTAAGAATGCTGGTTGAACTGTTTGACACATCCTGTTCTGTGGCTGGAATCAACACTTCATGTGCAGCGCACTACTGCAGACAATATTACAAACTATAAATTTAAGCTGTAGTGGGTAATAGTAGTAATTTCAAGTAGTGAATGAGTATTGGGTGTGAGAGATGTTGGTGCTTTGGATCCACAGTGAAACCCACACACAAAGCAGGTGCAGATTTTATAGGTGTATTCCACTCCTACAATCAGGAGTCTTCTCCTCTTCCCTCAAGCATGTCATTATTGCACCGTTACTGAAAAAGAACAATTTAGACTCATCTCCAAAATCCCTTTTTTGGTAAAATGCTTGAAAAGGTTTTCTACAAACAGCTGAATAGTTACCTATCACTGCATAATTTGTGTGATGCTCATCAGTCTGGCTTCAGAACAAAATGCAGCACTAAAACAGCTCTAATAAAAGTAGTTAATCATCTAAAGACCAACAGTGCTGCTAACAAACCTTCCATCCTATTATTACTAGACCTAACAGCAGCATCTGACTCCGTCAACCACAACATTTTACTCAGCAGACTGACAGATTTAGTTGGCTTACCCGGCCATGTCCTCTGTTCTCCATTTTCTGTATCTCTGGACAACTTCCAATCTAGCAATGTTAACAATTGCTGTGGGGTCCCACAAGGCTCAGTTTTAGGCCCATTATTATTTAACCTACATATGTAGGGCTGTACCCAAATATTTGGGTATTCGAATATTCGTTTCTATGGGTAGGTATTCCTTATGAAAATTTGGTATTCCAATATTCGTTTTTTTTATTTACTTATTTTTTTTATTATTATTTTTTACATTTTTTTGGTGCTAAATGTAGTCTTTTTGTTGTTGGTAAATGTAGGTTATCAATAAAAATCAAAACTTTTAAATTGCATTGTTAAAAATGTGAAAATATAGTATCGCCTACCAACGGAGCTTGTGCGCACGGCACGCTTGAGCGCATCCGTCTGAGGCTGTGGATCAGTGCCAAGTTTTACCATTTCATCACTATTCCCTCTAACTTGTAGCTGTTTTTTTAAACGTTATCTTTTGAATTTAATATGAATTATGGAGCCATTTTTGTCAACATTTGTTTCCCCCGTTTTGTACAATAAATTATTGTTTAAAGTTTCAACAAGTTTCTTTTGGAGTGTGTGACACAAGTGTGTTTTGAAAACGACCGCGGACTGTCACCTGCTCAACGCATCAGTACCTTCGGATGCCATGACAGTAATAGCCAATAATGTCAAAATATCATTTACAGACCGATTTAACAGACGATCACTGCTGCCCGACCCGCAGGTCCATTTGCGGGTCCCGTGGGTTACAGGTCGACCCGCGCATCACTACTCAGCTCAGTCTATAAGGCTGTACACAACAGTAAGGCTATAGACATTATATTCTATTCAGGCCGGCAGCACTGCTGATTAACCATTTTATTGCAGCACAGAGTGTCTACCAGCAACCAATTACTTGCAGAGGCTTCCTACAACTTGTTTCAACGGTTCCAATTTAATCAGAAGACAAATTAAACAGGATGACTAGCCAATGTGAAAATCAAAAGAAAGCATAGAATAATGTACTGAAGGAGACTGTTGTGCCATCACATTTTTTTGTGGTTTGAGAGCAAAGATCAGGTCGCCGTTGTGCAAAACTCCGCAATACAATTAGGTCCGAAAAAACCCCGGAGTCCCCCAGCTTTCTGTCTAATGAACGCCAATGGCGCATTTCTAATTTCTTTCTCCGGTGCCTCCATCTTTGTCTTGATGAACTTCTTGCCAAACGCTGCTGACTGAGACCACTCCTGACTTCACCAGAAAAAAACCCATCAGCACCATCTAGTGGACTGAAAAAACAATTTATTTTATTATTCTAGTACCAAAAGTTGTATTAAAATGTGTATTTGCCAAAATTAATAATGTTATGTATAATAAACAATCGACACTTGGCGTCCGTGTATTGACACAATATTACCACGCAAAATGTCGCAATGCTATGCTGCACTGATTTTTTCCCCTACCCCTACTATCTGTACCCATGATAAGTTGTGCGAAAGTTAAGGCAACAGAGTTATAACTTGAAGGGAAAAAATATATCAGAATAAGTCTGGGAGAATTAATTATTGTACAGATTTATACTGATGGGGAGCTACATAATTGACTATTATCATTTACGGAGAAGGGGTGGGAATAAATAAGTTTGTACTTCCTCCCACTGCTTTTTGGACATGTAAGCCAAATCCTTATGCTGTCTCCAGTTTTCATGCTTCTTTTAGTAAACTGTTTCTTTATGTCTGTCTACCACTGTATGATTATTTTGTTTATTTGCTACTTACATGTTTGAAAAAAAAACTGCTACTAACTAACTAACTAGCTGTAAATCAGGTGGAGGTGCATTCAGTTATTATGGGCCCGCTCTCTGGGACAAAGTATCATGATTGATGATGTCCCACAACTGTGTTGTCTTTTAAAAGCAAGCTTAAGACCTACCTGTTCTCTCAGGCCTGTTGTTAGCTAGTGCTTTAATTTCTCTGTCTGTGTCTTGTTCCTTCTCTCTTTCTTGGTATGTGTGGGTGGGTATGTTACGTTGGTGAGTGGGCAGGGATTGAGCAATTAATATTTGAGTCTTCTAATTATTTTTTATTTTTTCTCTTTTTAAAATGTGTATTCATGCCTTATTTTATTTTGTTCATATTTGCTGTATGTGAAGCACATTGGGCTTAAATTGTAAGAAATGTGCTATACAAATAAAGATGATTTCACCTGATTTGCAGAGTGAGTGAATACAAACTAAAACTAAGTAAAACATTTAGTCAGACACTCACAGTGCAGCTCTCCTTTGTCTGCTCAGTCACTGCTTCAAGCAGAGATCCCTCAGTTGAACCCCATGACCTCACAGCAAACACCAATTCGTCAACAGGCTGAAGACAAGGCAAACAGTCCAGTGGAAGATCTTCATCTACATAAAAGACAAAAAAATAAGTGAAATATGTACATATCTATACTTTGGAAATCCAGGAACATAATTGCATTTTCTAAAGGTTGCAGTGTAACAAAAGAATTACGTGATAAAATCCTATATATATTAGGCAAAATAGTAGTAATAATCATACACACGTAAACTACTGGATTAGAACAATAAGTCTCTCTGCCGAAAAATGAACATTACCTTCAAATGCTTTTACAATGAGCATTAATCATTCAGTTCTGAACTAGCTTAAACCTTTCATTATGTTTGAAAAACACTTCATATGTTAGCTAGTTTCTGCCATAATGATAAAAGTATGTTTAAAAGTTCAGAGTGTAGGACTTAAGGGGATATATTGGCAGAAATTAAATACAACACAGTTTGCCTTCCCAAATACAAAAAAATGATCTATATATGTGAAGAGCGTCACGTAGGTTTACATTTCCAAAGGTTTATGACAAAATCACTCGACGACGACTCCCATGTGCACGTGCCGAGACAGTAGAGGGAGAGACACTGTGCTGCTGCCAGAGGAGCCGCTGAATGAGTTCCCTCTGAGCAGTAAGTCTCTAAAAGAGTCTGAGAAGTAAAACATTCAGGACGGCACAGTTTACTCCACACTACTGAAGCTGCTCCTCTTTTGGTAATAATTTCGCTTTCAGCCATGCTTGTAATCACTGCGCGTAACAGTATGAAGTCAATATGTTAACAAGTCCAAATATTGCAGGTAATATCAGGGATTTCCCTGCCTATCTAAGACAAAAGCGGGCCGCCTGGGTGATTTTGGCCGCCACCTTGGTTAAAACGTGTGTGTGTGCATAGGGGGCGTTCAGGTGTAGCGTCTTTTGCGTGCACAAACCCATTACTTGCAATGCGCACTCACAACCCAAAGCGATGCTGTAGCGGCGCATTCGGTGCGGTGCACAGCTCCACGGACCTGCTTCTCCCTCTGGTGTTGCGTCAGATCCAGGTTCCCCCTCGGGCTGTGTCTCTCCTACTGTTTCCCATGGAGCTCTGTCCTGTTTCAAAGGTGAAGGAAGCCCATACGTGAAAAGACGTTGCCTCCAAGATTTAGAATGTGTATTATAGAAGAGAAACACACATTTTAGGACCGCTGACTTGTATCATCAGAACAGACATGTCCTGTGATTTTCAGCCTCCTTTCATATTTAATAGAGAGGGGACAATACCTGACAGTAATATTCTCAGCTGTCAGGATGTGCCTGCTGTAAAGGGTAAATATAATCATAGAAGGCTGAAAATCACAGGACATGTCTGTTGTGATTATACAAGTCAGCAGTGTGAAGCTCAAGCATGTCGGGGCCTCCTTTCGTATTTAATTAGACCATATCTAAAAGTGCAGCTGTCAAGATGCCCCCCGTAAAGTAACTATTAGCAGCAAAATGTACTTGATAGGGATGCATGATATTGGATTTTCTGACGATATCTGATATGCTGTTATACAACAACTTATCTGGCTGATAACTAGGGGTGTTAATCACCAGAGGCTGCGCGATACAATATTATCACAATACTTAAGTCATGATACAATATTATTGTGATTTTAAGCATATTGCAAGCTGAGTATTATGAGAAAATATATTGTGATATATTGTGATATATTGCGACTTATTACTACTTCTTTTAACTGCATATTATGTCCCCAAAGGAATACTCTACCAACATCTGTATCATTAAATACAATTAAGATTTCAGTCTGTTCATCTCACTTCAGTCACTTTTATTGCAGCAAAATGTATCCAGTGGACTGAAAAGGCAATCGATTATCAAATATTATTCTAGTAGGCTACCACATTTTATTTGTAACGTGAATCATTTACATAATAAAAACCTCTACACTTGGCGGCCATCCGTGTAACAATACGATATTGCCACACAAAAATATCGTGATACTATGCTGTATCAATTATTTACCCCACCCTTACATCATCGAGTCTCTTCTGCAGTGGGATTAACATATTATGCATGGTACTGTTATCGTAATGGCCCACCAGCAGATGGAGGCATGAAATAAAACGCTTTGTGAATGCATGTAATATTCATTTTTTTGTGCAAAATAAAAAGGATGTTTTCTGATTCTGATGGTTCATTTTAAAGCCAACATCAGCCGATGTTGATGACATGCCAATATTACAGTGCATCCCTGGTACTTAACATACGAAAATAAAAGTATTAACTGTGCAGCAAAGTGTTCCCTGTCCTTTTTTAAAAAAATATTTTTCTATCTGATGTTTTTTGGATTAATATTTCTGCTGTAGATGTGCTAGCTGTGCTGATTTTAGCTACTTTATATACTGTTGGGTAGTTTGATGTACCTCAAATATGTGTTTACGTGGTATTTGAGTAAGCTAACTAGCAACATACCACCACTGGTGATGATAAACGGTCCTAACTTTGACCTGAGGCCAGCAGACACAGGTGCCTCTCTCTTGGTGTTAGCTGACGTCGTTTAAAAAATGAGCTCAAAGTTAAGCTACTTTAAACATCACAATAAACCAGCACTTCTCTTAAATACAAAAACAAGACAAACAAAAACAGTCGCAGGTCGCTTGAGAACACTCACCGCTGTTTTGACAAACTCCTTGTTCCCCACAAAAACCGTTATCCACCGGGAACAAAGATAAAACGCAGAGGGCTTCCTGTCACCGTCTCCACCGTCACGTTCCAAACAAACATGGCAGCCGGAAGTGTTCACCTAAAGTCCGTCTTCTTCGTCGTTTTGTTCTATGCAAGCAAACAGGAATACGTTATTATTTATTACATGAAAATAACATTGAAACATTAGATAAATTAGAGTTTCTAGCTTTTAAATGTAATATAATAATATATAAATAAATTAAACTGGATGTTAATTAAATTTTGGTGGAAAATAGTTTAAAAAAATAAAATAAAATAAGAAAGGTAATTAAATTTGGAAATATCTTCAAAAGAGAAGTATTGTCAAATAGGTTATTTTTTTTTAATTTGTCTTCATAAAAGACAGATGCTATGAATAATTATGAACAAATTCTTGAATAAAAGAACAGATTTCCCGTTATTAAGCAATATGATTTTTTTAAAATTGACATATTAGATTAATAAATAACAAATCTGGACTTGTCTTTAAAAAACAGACCGTATGATATTGTATCTGACTGCAATACTACACAAATGATGAAATTATTTAATAGAATAGTGAATATTACATAATATGAGTTTGTTTGTTTTTAATTGACATATTAGATTAATATAAACAAATTAACCTAGCTGTAAATTAAATCTTGATGGACATTTAGTGAAACTTCATAAAAACAGTATTAAAAAAAAATCAAGCTTTTAAAAAAAAGTTAATTAAATTTGGAAATATCTGCAAAACAGAGGTACGCGTTGTCAAAGGATCTGTGAAGGTTTTTTTTTAGGTTAAATTTGGATTTGTCTTTTAAAAAAAAAACAGACACGATGATACTGTATCTGACTGCAGTAAAATACTAATTATCAAATTCCTAAATAAAGAAGCAGATTTTACATTATAATATACTTTTCTATTGAAATATTAGAGTAACATAAATAGATTAACCATGATGTGAAATCAATTTTGATGGGCATTTAGGGGAACTTGTTAAAAACAGGTTGGAAAATCTAGCTTGTCAAAAAGCTTACATTTGGAAATATCTTTAAAACAGAAGAAAGTGTTGTCAGATGAAAGTTTACGTTTAAATTTGGATTTGTCTATTGAAACATCGCATACTATGGTACTTTATCTGAGTACAATACAATACTAATAATTGAATTCTAAATAAAATAGCGGACATTACATTATTATATAACATACCAGGCCTATATAATTGTTATTGTTAATTATAATAATACTGATACTACTACTACTAATAATAATAATAATTTATTTACTTGTTATGTTTTAAAAGCTTGGCTTGGCTTTGTCTTTCGGAAAAAAGCAGTAATTAAATTCTTAAATAAAATTGCTGATCACATGAGAGTAGACGTATGAGAGTAGATTTTACAAACCCTATGAAATAATAAATTATTAAAGTTTCGATTACAACACAGCCTCGCCTTACTGAACCCAACCATTAACTAATAACTCATCTTCGGTTTTAATAAAGTGACATTTGTTGGGAAAAAATCCGATCAACGAAAGAATAAACGCGCCTGGCTTTATACAACTACAACTCCCACAATGCCGTGTCGGGCCGGACTTCACGTGATTAGCTCCATCCGCTTCATGTGACCGTGCTGAGAGGAAAACATGGCGGACGTAGATGTAGCGAAGTCTCTGAGCGGACTGTTGAATGGAATAGCTCAGAAAGTGTATTATAACAAGAGTGAGATCACAGAGGAGCTGCTGAAGAACGAGCTGTACCCGGATGTGTCTCAGGAGGAGTTCAAGGCTCTGCATGAGAAGATGAAAGGACTCCTAAAGGTAATGAAGCACCTTCATCCTGGAAGTAACACAGCAGAAATACTAGCCACAATAAAGTATTTAAAATGTAATTGATAGTGTTTTCTCTGCAGTTTTACAGAAGCTGTAAAGTGTAGTTGAGAAATGTAAGTGCAGCACTTGGAGCAGTATACCTCTACTCTTTTTACTGCACTACATGGGCCTGGCAGCTTTAGTTACTTTACAGCCACGTTACAAACATTTGATGATCTTATAGAACATGATGCATCGCTGTAGATTAAACTACCCAACAGGATATAAAGTATTTAAATGAGCACGACCTGAAACATCTGCAGCAGGAAAATGACACATTAATGCAGCAGTGATATTAATCCAAAAACATCAGATAGAATTAAACACTGACTCTGTGTGTGTGTGTGTGTGTGTGTGTGTGTGTGAGACCTGTGGTCAGCAGGGGGCAGCACTGCCATTCATACCTGTCAGCGCTGCTCACATTTTAGGTGCACTATAATGTCAACAACAGAATATCAATTATTTTTCTCTTAAAAATAATAAAAATAATAGTGTGTTTATTTTTATCGCACAGTTCATAGAGCAAGTGCAACTCAAGTGCTTTACATTAATCAAATGAGAAAATACAGATAAAAGACAATAAGATAAAGTAGATAAGATACAAATACACAATCACACAAATACACACACACACACACACACACACACACAGACATAAAAAATAAAAATCACTTTGGTGCCAATTAATTAATTAAAAGCTACATGCAGGTCTTATGTTATGTGTTGCTGAAGTCTATATAAGCAATGCATGTTTAGTGTTCCTTTATTCATCTGAGTAAAAGTATCATTTATACTCAATAAAATAAATAAAACGAAATACATTTTTTGTTAATTTTTGATTTTTAACAAAACAACTTTCACAATTCCCTGTCTAAACATTGTTTGACTGATAGATCTTCCCCTCCTCCCACCCATGATAACATTCAGAGGCTGTAAAACAAACTATGAAAGTAAAATATATAAACATGAATATTCACATTTAGTTAAAGAAAATAAATTGAAAAAATAATGCAAAAATGTAGTTAAATATTAGATAAATTGAATCAAAAAGGAGAACACCTGCACACTGTTTGCACTTGCAGAAAAAGGTTAAATTTATTAGACTACAACGTTTCGGTCTCGGACCTTCATCTACCTGCCGAAATGTTGTAATCTAATAAATTTAACCTTTTTCTGCAAGGGCAAACAGTGTGTGGGTGTTCTCCTTTTTGATTTATTGTTTGCCCCACCTACGCATGAATAATAGATAAATTACAAATAGTGACTTGTTGGGGGTCTGAAGCGGTACAGCGTGTCCTCTGAGGCACTGATATGCATAAAAACAGGCACAAGTGGGAGACAGAAAAATGTGACGACCAAGACATGTCAGGAATCTGTCCAACACCTCATTTGCAGAGCTCCTAGTTACATACCTAAATACTGTAGGTCAAAAAGAATTTGCAAATCTCACACAGCGTCCCAACTTTTTTGGGAATTTGAGGTTAATTATTTCTGTGGGATTTGGTCAGAATGGTTGTGTCTGACACTGATGTAGTTGATGGACAACTGTGACAAACCTGTGTTTATTTCTAAGGATAAATGCTGACAGTGGTGTCTGATAGGGCTGCTGGTCTTTGTGGTGCACCTAAGCTGATCCTCCTCCGTCTCTCAGTCTATCGCCACAGCAGACATGGACCATGCCCAGCTGGAGGCCTTCCTCACAGCGCAGACCAAGAGGCAGGGCAGCGGTGGGGTGACCGCCGAGCAGGCCGCTGCCCTCTCTCGCTTCTGGAAGAGCCAGCGAGTGCGGGTGAGGGAGAGCTTGCTGGCTCAGAGCCGCTGGGAGCCCGGACTCAGGGGCCTCTCCTGGAGGGTGGACCTCCAGACTGCAGCCAGCCGGGGGGATGCAGCCCACAGCGGCCCGGTCGCCCTGATGGAGCTGGAGCTGGGCAGAGCCGGACAGGTGAGACTGACATCCAGTGTTTCTACCAGTGCTCATTCACTCTCACATTTACACTGGGAACAGACCAGTACAACCTCTACTGCTGCCGTGTTTTCAGGGATCAGTGCCTTGCTCGAGAGAACAATGACCATATGTTAATCAGTCAGTCATGCTGTGTTACCTTGAATTCATGAAGACAACATTTTCTTCTCTCATGCCTCCATGGAAAACTGCAAAGATATTGATTTTTTTGATTGATTGAGGATCGTGTTTAACAACAGCAAAACTATATCACAACATCAGTTTATCCATTGAGCTCTCTCTAACACAACTCATGTCTGGCAACATGCCATTTCTACAGTTCAGTAAGTGCTGCACAAATTAGAAAGTAGTGCAGTAAACTTTATATTCAGTGTTAGTAGATCGTATGCAGTAGGGACACATCTTCAGTCTACACACGATAAACCTTTTATTGTTGCATCAAATAAAATATTTATAATGTACACATGAATTAAAACCATATAAACTTTAACAGTTAATGGACTCGCTGTAATGTAGATGCAACTGCATCAACTTAACATTAACCTTACGTCCCTGTTTATGAGTGTGTTGACATTTGTACGGCTGTGACCAACTGTAGAGCCTGTGGGGTGAGAGGAGGGGAACGTTCTTGAACAAACATGTACTTTCATGCTGTTTAAATACCAGTAAACACTGCCGACAGCGCAGGCGTGAGCTGGTTTGGGTCTAGAAGCCTGGCTGTGGATGCAGCCGGATTATTGGTGTGTTTTAATAAGCCTCGGTCCCATGGGAAGGCTAAATTTACTCAATCTGGGTCCTGGACTGAAAACAGTATTAGAGCCCCTCCCGGGGGCAACACTGCTGAGATGTTGCAACTCTCGATGTGGTGACCTGCATTTCAAAACAAAATCCATTTTGGTGGGAAAAATGTTGGAAGGTGTGTCACTGGCATCTTAAAGTCGTTATTGAATTGACACAGTTGGCAAACAGAGTAGAAAAACTTGTTAGCCACAAACAAGCCCAACCATTGTGTCTGTGCAGCTCCGCCCCTTTTAGTTTGTCTGAGTTGATGATACTGGAAGCGCCTGTTCTGAATGAGTGTGCTGGAAATGATACCAGGTAAAAAGAATTATAGGTAAAATATACCTTGTAGTGTAATCACATCTGTAGATAAGTCAGGGAATGTGTCATACAACATCGATGCAACATCACCGGAGACATATTTGAAGGCAGTGGTTCCAAACCGGTGCAGTCACAGGGTCCAGATTTCTCCTCAGTGATTCAGAGGTCCACACAGTTTTATACATTAAGCATTACACTTGAGTTTGAACATGTCGTCAACCTAGTTTGCAGTCCCTGTCAGGTAGCCATCTGTTAGTCACTCACTCTACAGCAGGAAACAGGACTTCAAAATAAAAGCCCGGTGCTGAAAATTCACTGAACATAAAAATAAAGTGTTTTTTTTTTACAAACTTTTGGAGAGTCTCTGGCGGTGGACCTGCAACCCACCTTTGGACCATGACCCACCAGTTGGGAACCACTGCTTTAAAGGACAGTTCAGTCAAAGATACTGTATTTCCTCTTACTTTTACTGCTGTTTATCAGTCTGTGTTGTCTTGGTGTGAGTTGCAGAATGTTGGAGATATCGGCCGTAGAGATGTCTGTCTTCTCTCCAGTATAATGGAACTAGATGACACTCGCCTTGTGGAGCTCAAAGTGCCAAAAAAATACATTTGAAAAACTCAATGTCTCTTTCCAGAAATCATGACCTGGTTACTCAAGATAATCCACAGACTTTGTTGTGAGCAGTTTCATGTAGGAACTATTTTCCCTTTACCAAGCTACACCTTCCAACTGTATCACCGCGCAGACAGAAGTGTGCATCTACTGCCAGCTCACCTAGCACCACTGGGCTAGCTAAAGTTACAGCTCAACCGAGGAGGAAGCCATTAATGTTTACATCTCACGATGTCATGAGCACAAGCCTCTTATCCATGAGTAGACGTACGCTTCCTTCTGCGCAATGAAACGGTCGTTGGGTGAAGTTTGGTAGAAGGAAAATAGTTCCTGCATGAAACTGCTCACAACAAGGTCTGTGGATTATCTTGAGTAACCAGGTCATGATTTCTGGAAAGAGACATTGATGTTGAGTTTTTAAAATGTATTTTGGTGCTTTGAGCTCCAAAGTGGTGAGTGTCATCTAGTTCCATTATACTGGAGAGAAGGCAGACATCTCTATGGCTGATATCTCCAACACTCTGCAACTCACACCAAAACAACACAGACTGATAAATAACTCTACAGGCGGGAGGAAAAATATGTTGTTTTTGATTTTGATGTGAAGTGTCCCTTTACAAAAAGAACCAAAGCAGCAGAGGCAGAGATATCCTGACTTTCAGTCCCTTATGTGGCCCCAAAAAGCTTCCTACGTTTCCCACAGTGCAACTCACTGGCATCTTATATTACTTTTATCAAACCTTCCTCTTACTTGATGTGCAGCGTTCCACATCCACTGTAATTTTTGGGCTTCTGTTGACCATTTGTTGCTGCATTAATCCTGTTTAGAAGAAAATACCCAAATCCATACTGAAGCCTTTACCTGCTACAGTCCTGCTGCTGCACTCTGACGCCATAAACAGTTTAAGACCTGGATTATGCTGATGGATTTTATTATCCAACTACACTGTGGATGATTGATAGGTCTAAGAATGGTTTACCTTGTGTGCTCCTGTTTCAGTGTTTATGATTGAGCTGAATGTTGCAGTTTCATTGGCCAGGAAAAATCAGGGAAAATTACATTTTATTGTTTGGTTTGTTAGATGGGATAGACGCTACAGTGTGTGCCCAGATGTCCACAGTAGATTATCCATTGTTGTTCGAGGGAACGTAAGCGCGTGTGTGGCCACCAGCAGACCTCCACCACAGGGCTCAGTCCAGTGCAGGTCAGGAATCAGCTTTCCTCTCTCCTGCTGTCGATTTAATCAGCAACGCCCAAATCACCAGGCTGTCTGGAGGCTTTCCTGTCTGCATCCTGTTTGTCACTGGACTGATTTTTACATCTTCCACTGTGGCCACAATTCTTCTACCTGTAGCAATATCAAGACCACCTGAAGCAATGACACAAAAATGTGCCTCTACCTGCTGCCATGACCTTTCTTCTCGTGGCAGTGATGCTTCTGTCCAGAGGGTCGACCCTATAAAGATATGAAATGTAGCCATCATGACGTCACACATTGGTTTGTAGACTCCTGTTTTTGGAGCGTTTAAGCTGGCAGCTTCAAAACAGACTGTAATGTAATCAGATTACATCCGTTAAGATCCGAAAAGTTGTGGATGATACCAATGGAGCTGTCCCGTACCGTCCCCATGTTTGGTCCCCCCTCTGTTGGGGTACCTAGCACACAGATCTGGTACTAAAAGGTGGAGCTGTGAACACTGCAGTCTGATTGGTCAGTAGAGGACGGTCACTCTGCTCAGGGCTGAGTTGTGTCTGGTTTTGAGGCTCATGTAACCACTGTTCATACTGTGGAGAGTTTTATTAGTAAACTGTAACTACAAAATGAAAGGATGTTTTGCTGCCTCTCACAGCAGCTGGAGTCTGAGAAAAAATAACTTCATTCACTGGGCCGACTGCCGGCAACTTTTAAGGTGGAACGTTAACTTGTAATGTTACTCAATGCATGAGTTGATGACGTGAATCCATCAGCACACCTTAAATTTCACTGTGACAACTTTGACCATCACTTTAGTTTTTATATGACACACACTTTTAGTAATGACTTTAAAAATATATATTAATTTGGAGCGGATTATGTGAAGGTCATATATTCTAATCCTCACTTCCTGTGGGCTACAGCAACACTAAACCCCTGAGCTTGCCTGAGAAGGACTAAATGCACAAAGCTGCTATTTTTAAATATCCCATGGAGAGAGACTCTCACTGCAGCCTGTTCTATTTTGTTCTGAAAATGTGGGCGTGCAGCCTCGTTCTGTGGACGATAAACCAGGTGCAGACTTCCATCTGTGTCACCGCTGATGAGGAAATACAGCGAGTGCTGGAGCCCGCCCACATTTAAGAGGACTGTTTGTGATGGAAATGCTAAGCGGACCGAGGGTCTAGGTACCATGTCTGAAGGGTCACTGCTGGTTCCAAAGGTACTGGACTGAAAGAGTTTGGTGGGAACAGGGCTTTAGTGTTATCTCTAAGGTTTCTAATATCATGGCTGTATATTTAGCAGATTTCAACAATGTGGAAAAGTTTGCAAGATTTCAGAACGAGACTTCTCCTTGAGCGTGACCTGGTCACAGTGACAAACAGACGAGATCAGTGAAGGGAAGGAGGAAGTAAAAATGCTTCCTTTCTCTGTAGGGTCTTTTCCATAATGTTGGCAGACACTTGAGTATTTTAACATGCAGGTTTTGGCACTTTGGCATTGGCTTCTTTTTCAACTCTTCACATTTGTCAAATCTACAATATTAGGGCACTAATTAGGGAAGGGTTAATGCTGCTTGTGAATATTTTAGTACGTTAAACTAGAAGATGGACCGTAACGTTTATGTGGTTCCAAACTGTTGTGTGATTGTGAGGGTTTTTCACTCTGAAAGTTTAAGTGTTGTCCTGGAGAGGAGTTGACATTGTGTGTGATGTTGATGACAGTTTGCGCTTCAGCAGTCTGTCTCGTGCCCGTTCTCTATGAATCTGACCCAATCTGCAGGTCCCACAGCTCAGAGAAAGTGGGTCAGCAGACTGGAGCAGCATGCTGTCACTGACTCTGCTGTGCGACTGCAGGATATACGCACATTATTATCTGTCCATTCAATTCATGTCTATTTATAGCCAGCAGAAGTAGGTGGAGGAGGTAACGTGTAACACTAAACATCAAGGTGTCCTTAAACTGCTGAATCCCAGAGGAGGATGAGACAATGCCCTTCATCAGCATGGAGGAAACTTCAGACTGGAAATTAGGCCAAAGTGTTTCCATTTACTCCTGCATGAATTA